ATAAGCCCTTAGCTTACTGGCTAATAGAGATTCAAAAATCTCAGTATGATGTGCAAGAAGATGTGAAAAGCGATGTATATCCACAATTAAAATTCGTCATCAGCAATTCCTATCTTAGTAATGTGATCAAAGATAATAATAAAAATTCAACGCCTATTTTGATGCTAATATTAGAGGATGTTTGTTTTGAAGGAAAGTAAGAAAATTGTTGGATACTTACAAAGAATAATTGCGTCATTCGAGTGATTGCATTTTGTAAACTTGACAAAGAATTTATTTTTAGTGGAAAGGAGATGAAACATTGCTCGGATTATTTTAGAAAACAAATTAATTAATCGTTTACTGTGTCGATATATCTACTGTGCATTCAAATGATTTAATGCCTTCAGAATCTACTTTTGAGTTGTCGGACATAAAATGCAAACTTGTCAGGGTTTCATACAATTCTATTGTATTTATTCCACTATTATATACGTTAAATTTATAAAAATAAAGTCATTTAAAAGTTTAAATCTTTTTATTATTTTACTTTTAACTTTTAACTTAACTTTTTATTACAATCAGCTCTTTTAGAAATGAAATTAAAGAAAAATTGACTTAAAGAATAATACAAGTCAACATTTTCATTATATTTGAAACAAGGTAGAATAATATTATTTACTTCAAAAAACAGTCAGTTATTTTAATTATTTTTATTAGTTATACTCTATTAAGTACTATGTAAGTGTTATTATTATAGAATAATGGAGAGAATGCCACGTAAGCGTTCATTAGGATTTCTCAATGCAAAAATTAGATTTTTTCTAACATTTATGATTACAAAATCAACTTTTATGATTATAAATTCACTATTAATGACTACTAATAATATGAATGTGCTAATGAAATTCGGTGAAGTTTATTATTTAACATTATTTCATGAAATTCTAGTGAATGAAGATTGGTTCATTGCTATGCAACACTGGTTGAGGGCTGTTGAACTTCAAGTTCGTCTGCAGTTGGCTCTGTGGCGTCATTTTGTGATTCAACATTGGACATTTTTAAGATTTTTAGGCGTACTTACTGAAACGGGCTTTAAGGTCGCGTGGAAACGTTGTTTAGAATTTTTTATTATTGCTTTTATACAATTATCATTATCTAGCTGACCTACAGTACTGTCAGCATTTTGTATTACAGAGAATCTGATGAATATGCGTAAAAAATGTGTATGTTGTTATGCTAAAAGTTCTCTGGAAAAAATTATCTATTATCTTGTAGCAAATATTGGCCTCTTTGGTTTCTAATCCGGGTGAGCATAATGTTGACATGATTTTAAAATATTTGCTATGGAATTTTATTGTTTTTTCAGTTTTTTTTTTTATAAAGTTATATGCATGCGGAGTTTACCTTTAAGTAATTGTTGCACTTGTGTTAATACTTTTAAGTAATTGTATCAATTTGATGTGTTAGCGTTATCAATTGTTGGTGAACCTAATAAAGAGGAAAAAAAAATCCGGATTCTTTAATTTATCCTCCAGCTCAAAAAAGCTGCTCCACTATTTTAAGTGGAGGAAAACGTTCTTCCAAGGAGTTCTATTGTTTTTAACTTTTACTGTGGCATTACAGTAAGCCATTTTACATCATAATTCGTTTAATAGAACTTCATGCTTCGCAAGCTGCTGCATTTTTTTTCTGATTGCTCTGCATATCTTGCAGTATTTCTATTATTTTACCTTGGTTTTCAACCACTTCGTCTTTGGCATTTATTTAGGATATACAGTCCACCTGAAAATATAAAAATAGTTATTTTCACACAGTGACTTCGCGCCATCCCCGCGCGAACAACTAGTTTGTAGGTGTAGATTAATTTTTTTATCGCCTTTCATGTCATTTCTAATTAAAACCCAAAATCAATGAATCATTAAATTGATTCAGTACTTACTATGTATATACTACTGCTTACTAGATATGTAGCTTGTTTCTTTTTTTTTAAAGGGGGAAAGGGATGATATATTTCACAAGAACTTCTTGTGAAATCCCTTTCCGTCGTTCATCTACCTACAAAACACTAAAAGTAAGAAAACCAAAATTCTAACTTACTTTCATTCGAAGAATAGCCTGTAGTAGTTCGCACACTTTTGTAACCATCGATCGAACGCAAGTCGGGCTACAACCAAAACTTGAACGCAACTAATTGTGCTCAGAGGTTGTTTTTGCGACTGGTAAGACTTGAATTACTCCTGGCGATAACCTTTAAGTTATGAAAACAGCTTTATTGTTTTAAGTAGGTCCGCGAGATCACTTTTAGCTCTTATTTAAGCAAACATTGAGAGCTTTAAGCTTTTGCAGTTTTAAAAAAGTTCATTTTAATTCCTTAGAGTAATTTCTTCGCGACAGCCATATTTTTTCAAGAAAATTAAAAAAAATGTAATAAAAAAATCATTTTTTTATTAGATCAAGGAGCTGTCCGCAGTGCGTTTTTGCTTATTCACGATTTAAAGTGTATGTTTTTATTAAAATAGAAGTTTTATTTATAATGCTACTTTACATCAACTTCCGCATTTTATGTTACTTATTTCATTAAAATATCTCCAAAAATTGTAACTTTCGAAAGGCCCGTATATTATATAGCACTATTATCTTAAAGTATCACGATAAAGTACCAGTCGCAGTCGCTTCTGAGAACAAGAAGTTAATTGCATAATATTTTTATGAATATCATGTATCTCGCCATTTTGAAACTTGGTACAATGACAGCGAATGGCGACATTTAAAACTACGATTAGAGTTTTGTATAAAAATATTTTACTAAAACAGAAACATTCTAAGAGCAGGACACCTTGAGAAGCATTTATTCACAACCAACAAAAAGTTTATAGGTTGTCAAAAAGTTACAACCAAGATTACTTTAGAACTTAGAAGCTACTTTGATAGGTTGTGTTAACGTTAAATTAAGGTTATGAAGATTATATTTGGGTCCTGTGTAAGTAGTTAGATAGGTTCTGGATTTGAGCTATAGGTTTTGCATTTGCTCTCAGAAAGGTTATAAAACGTGGGCCTTTTTTGCACAAAGGAGGTTAATATAAGGTTATTAAAACGTCATTGAGTCTGTTAAGACTTACGAGCGGATTTCCATATAAAGGTTTTAGAACCTTTTCAAAACCTTTCTAAAACCTAAAATGTTACTTGGGAACTATCTATAATTAATGTTACAATTATTTCCCGGGAATAACTTAACCAGAAATAACTAAATAAAGAATAAAACCAATTAAAGAATTTTTGTTAGTTTGTTAGACAATAAATTAGGCTCGGTCATCATAATCACACTAATCAAACTATAATAATTGTAAAAGTTTTTTTGTTTTTCTGCTTTTTCTTTAATCACGCCAAAAGTATGAAACCAGTTTGAATGTAATAATTTGGAACACAAATAGTTTATTACCTGAATTATCATATAGGATAGTTTTTATCCCGATTTAGGTCCCGAGGAATAGAATAAGAAATTCCGTAATAATCGAATTCCACCAGAGAAACATATGAAAATAACACACTCACCTCACTAAAGTCGCAGTGACAACTGATATAGTTGTCATTGACTGTGACAAAAGATGGCGCCCGACCGTAGCGAGAAAATTGTTGCCATATTCGGTAATGTTAAAACTACTGTTGTCCTTTTTTAGATACGATTATGCTTATGAGCTAAAAAGAGACGCCGACATTTCGTTGCATTCCTACAACTAACGATCTTTATGTCATGTCCTTTCTTTCTTCTCTAGTCAAAGGTTGTAATTGTTAACTTAGGGAAGCTGTTTTATATTAAGGGGAATTCTAATTTAAATATTGTTGTAAAGTATTCATATTAAAAACTTTAATCATGAGTTTTTAATAGCATGTATATGTTTATTCATGTCATTATATTACTTAAAACTAATATTGCACAAAACAACTTATACTCTCTCAAATTTAGCTTGTTTTCCTTGTTTCAATTGTTTTGTGTCAGTTCCGTAGTGACAGGCGATTGTTTTTGTGTGCGCTGTTTCTCCCCGCAAAAATGACAAAGAGTTTTGTATCGGAGAAAAACGCTATATGGCTACTCTCCTCCGATCAACCGGTGGCCAGTGACCAGTGTTGCTTTATGACTGAAATAGGGGTGATATGGACGTTTCACATGAACATTGTCTAATCCATTTGTCCACGTTCGTTTTAATTCCTTTCTTCGTAGATTATAACCTGTTATTTATAATACTTCTGCGTGTCACAAACTACGCAGATACGATAACATTTTATCTGCGTATAAAAGCTTAATTATCTGAAAGTATCACACACTACGCAGATGTGATAATATACGAAATGATACATTCACTCGAAGTCCTTCAAACTTACTAGACTTACTAGAAGTGTCTTTTGAAGCGGATTGTTTATACATAATGTTATCTACAATGAGTTGGCGTATATTGATTCTAGATTTGCTAGACGGTTCGTCATAATAGGATTCAGATTTTGATTTTGATGCACGTTAGAAGAATTTGGATAGAACCTCAAATAAAGCTTAAAAAGATCGAGGTGATTTTTATCGCATTTTTTCAGCGACCATTCTGTATTTAACCGCAGATAATGCCCTATGCCATATTTGTATCTGTAGATGTCATCTGCAGATATATTTGTATGAGTAGATAATATTGTCACTATCTTTCGATATATGTCGGTACTTACAGATACTTAATGATTTTTATTTCTCCGCTAGGAGTAAAATTATTCTGTGATTGAATTTCATAGAGAGCGATATTGAAAGATATGCGCTCAGATACAGACATTTTATCGTATCTACGTAGTGTGTAACACACTATAGAGTAATTAAATACATACTGATGTTAATTGTTTCCATAGTTACGAGGTTACAAGGGTAACTTATGCTGTTGCCAATAGCAACACTGTCAATTACTTTATTTTGTTCAACTTAAACTTGAGGCACTATTATTTTTCCATTTATTGCTATTGTTTTTACTCTACAAATAACTAAAATGGTAAGTACATTAATCTAAACCATTTATAACTATTTTACTTCAAACACCTTTTTTTTAACAATTTACTTTCACGTAGCTATAACAAAACCTCTCTGTTGTCTGTTGGGTGTTGATCAGATGTGAAATTACTAGTAAAATGAGCCACATAGTTATATATAAAGATAGTTTCATAATGCGTAATAGATGGTTACATCTTTCTGTCGATCGACACCAAACACTCCATCACGTTGAACAAATAGGTGATTCGTTAATCTGGACGTGGATCCTTCCTATTGGATAAATTGTGATCGTACTTTGAAGTGCATTGGCATGGTTGTTACATTTATTCATGTCTTGATCTTAGACCCACCTCTCTTTGGCACAGGCGAGTTATTTCAGGCCATGATAAATTAGATGGTTATTTTATCTTCAGTTATAAATAATCTTCACCGCTCATGATGATGATGTGCTTCCAAATGTATTTAATTACGGCGACCAGTCTTAACGGACACTAGCCACCTACGCAGGACAGTATTATACTGTACATGTGTTCGCGTAAGCAAAGGTACACTATAGGACGATCCGATAGGACGCCAATCTGGCACGACTGGATAACGATCAGGGATGCGACCAAGGGTCACTATCAAAAGTACAGAATCAATAATTGATTATAATAAGCTATAGTTATTAGTCTACGAAAAAAGTTTTTCGTTGTTTCAGTCTCTATGTACTAGATTATGTAGATATCTTTTTGGACGATTAAAGTTCATGTATTATAAGAAAATGTTAACTTTGTTTTTGAATAACAGATGTAATTATACTATTTTATTTTCAGGCCCCCAAAACAAGGAAGGGTGGTGGTAAAAAAGCACCTGGTATGTAATTGCATAACTTGATAAAATATAACAAGTACTCTTATAAACGTTGATAATGGTAACAAATCATATATTTTCATTTTTTAGCTATTATTATAGATGGCGTAGATACATCGGAGATGACAAGAGAAAAACTTGAACAGTTTACTCTTCGTGTAAAAGAAGAATTAGACAAAGAACGGGAAGAACGAAACTACTTTCAGCTAGAAAGAGATAAAATACGTACCTTTTGGGCAATAACGCGACAACAGTTGGAAGAAGCGAAAGCTGAACTGAGAAATAGAGAACGAGCAACAGAAGAAGCACAGGAAGAGAATGAAGCGCTTTTAGAAACAGAGAAGCAGAAGATAAAACACTTAAAATATGAACAACAGGCCACTGCAGCTGCATTGAGAGCTGAAAATCTAGTGGCATTAAAAGCAGCAAAAGAAGATCATGCAGAACAAGAGTTAGAACTTCTAAACGACAAGCGAATGTTAAGACAAGAAATGAGAGAGAAAATGTTAGCAGCTCAGGATGAATTGAGGAGAGCTAAACTGATACACGCAGAAGAATTGTCTAAAACTAGAGAAGAGTTTGAAGAGAGAGCACGCCAGATAGAAGAAAAGGCCGAAAAGAAACTTCACGAGACGAAGATAGAGCTGACAGTGAAACATAGAACGGAGTTAGCAGAAGTGGAAGAAAGGAAGAATAAGCAGATATCGGAATTAATAGCTCATCACGAACGGGCGTTCGCAGATCTGAAAAACTATTACAACGATATAACCCTAAATAATTTAGGTATGTATATGTGTTTGTGATTAGCCAACTTAAAAAAAGAAGAGAATTTTTAGTAGAATAAGGGTGACAAACGAGATGGTGTTGATGCTATTGTCCATTAGACATCTACATTTACCTTCGATTAAGAATAAACGCAGACGCGTTGACGCCCCTAAACACTAAGATGGAATCCCTCGTTTCCAGTAAAAAGTGCCTCCTTTTCTCTATGCTCACCATACGATATACAGCAACAATAAACTGCTATTTTACGCTGGTATTCTGTGAGAGCGTGGTCCTACCCCAGTCGACCTGACCCATTCGTGCTACAACCATAATATAGTTGTAACGTGGTTACACCACGTGAAAAAATTCAATTCCACTGTATGTTTTCCTTTTTGTATGAGTGTTACAATGATTTTCATAATTTTTTTTATTGAATAGGTCTTCATAGATGAAGATTATAGACCATACGAAACTGGAGAAAAATTTCACATCTCTGAGTGGAAAAATAGGGGATGAAATTCTTATGTGACATTTAGACGACACTGTGATTGTGATATTACTTAATCCACCCAAAAAATTTAAGGGTAAGGGTTTTAGGGCAAGGAAATGTCCGCCGCACTGCCCCAATGCGTGTTGGCGAACTTCACGTGTCTTTGAAATATTTTTTCTTCTTATTTCTCATATATGCACGTTTCCTCGCGATGTTTTCCTTCACCGCAGGGCACGTGAAGTGTAAGTGAATCGGCACTTGAAATTGCAATTAACAATTTCATTGGTGCCGTCAGCGATCGAACCCGGATCGCTCGCGTACTGTGAATTTCATAGCGAGTGCTGAGTCACTGAGCTGCCACGGCTCCTACGGCTACTGAGTCAGATCAAATAAATGAACCTTCAATAAAACGTAAGAGCCGACTTTAAAAAATTTAAAAAAAGCATTCTGAAGTCAGTGCTCTAATTCCTCCATTTTAATTTATGTCTTAGCACCAATTCATATTGTGAAATTATTTAAATAAACTAGTTTTTACGGTTTTTATCGCGTATATTAACTTTTTTATATTCCCGAAGTTTCGAGCACTTACAGCACCCATGGTCACGGAGGGTACATTGTATTATTTAAATGTGCAGTGTTTTTTAAATTATTTTTAATTATGTATAGTTGGTTATTGACTGTGTAGTGGTCTAGTTACAATATCCACTACCATAAAAATTGGTGGAAGAGGAGGAATAAAAGATGGATGATTGTGTGAAGAGTGTATGAGAATGAAAGGAGTAAGTATGGAATGAATAGAGAGGATGCAAGAAGATTACTGCGCCAGATGTTTTTAGAGATGATATTAAAAAAATATTGTTCCGTGGTTATCGTAAAAGGCGACAGAGCGAACAAACCAGCAGCTACAAATTTAAAAAAAAACATGGGTTGCCATTGCACCTGCCAAGCGTTGCAATTATGACAAATATCCCCCTCCCATGAAACAATCTATGGAGGAAGCCTATGTCCAATAGTGGACGTTTGATAGGCTGTAACAATGAAGTCAGTTACTAACAACTTTATTAAAAATAAATTTTTTAAGAAGCGTTTGTTTAAAATAAATAACATTTTTCTGAACGTTTAATATTAACTACTACAACTTCAAAGTATGGGATTTGTTTTCTTTTTGTAACGACCTTCGCAAGGAGAAGGTGAAATTCAAGTTTTCGATGTAACAAGAAAAACTTGGATAATAATTCCGATGAATTGCAATAACAGCGATAATGCTAAACGCGTCAGCCTATATAACGACTTTATTAGGCCAATCCAAGATCTTACCAGGATGTAAAACAGTTTCTAGCCCAGAAGTCCTTAGCTAATAGAATCTACGTGTCATAGAATATTTCAAAGGAAAGACGGGAAACCTTGTTTCAGCCGAAGATAAACAAACTTGAATATAAGTGTCTAACTTTACAGCTTGAATATATATATATATATATATATATATATATATATATATATATATATATATATATATATATATATAACTTCAATAGTAAGTTCTAAATTCTAATTTCGATATTTAAGGTCTTATAAACAGCGTGAAGCAAGAAATGGAAGAAATGCAGCGAGCTAAGGATCGAGCGGAAAAAATTGCAAAGGACGCTATAGCAGAAGCTAAAAGTCTGCGTGAGCCTTTAGAAGCGACCATCTTGGACAACAAGGAATTGAAGCGACAGATGTCCAACTATGACAGGGACAAAGCTGCACTAGCTGTAAGTTAAAGTTAAAGGTTACAGCCTACATACGTCCCACTGATGGGCACAGCCCTCCTCTCATATCTGAGACGGTAGCTGTAAGTGGTATTCGTTAGTGATATGCAAGTATTGATTTTTGGGTAATTTTATACTATCGCGGTAATTTTAAAAAAAAATCACACAATAATGTTTATTTATTTTTTAGCGACGCGAGCTCGGTACTTGGGCATCCCGACTCGGACAGGTTAGAAGGAGATGGCGGAGAATCTCCCTCGTGGTTATTTTTTTATAAACCACTCAGAAGTAGGAGCTGGGAGGGGCCCAGCTCGTACCGCTCGATCTTACACTCAATAAAAACCAAAATAAAAAATTAATAAACAAACATTTTAATATTTTTAATGTTCGTTTTTATGTAGATTGTCAAAAAAATATAACAACTTCATTCAATTATTTTTCAAAAAGTTGTCAATACTTATACGTGAATGAATGTATTTTCATGAACATTTAAAGCCTTGAAACCAATGTAAATTTAATTTTTTTTATTCTTGTAATTTTTTTCATAAATCCGCCGTAATAATGGAGATTTAAAAAAATCATCGAAATCGGATGATTTTCGATTTTCTAGAGCCAAAAAACGAGGTGACCGCGATAGTTTAAAATTACCGATTTTATACGTGGTATATCGCTGCAGTAGCGAGCCGATATTGTGGTTGCACCAAGAATAGGTCTGCTCTACCTATACTTTTTTCTCACTTAAACCAACTTGTAAACTTCTTAGATCGCTACGCTACTGTCAAAGTTGTTTAGCAAAGTGTAGTTTGCTAAACAAAAAAACCGGCACGGGGAAAGGGACAAACAATCACACCGCTCTGTCTCATTTCTATGCAAGACGTATGCATACATCTATCTTTTTCGTGTGCGAATGCGAAAGAAGGCGTCAATTTGTCTATAGGTTTCTCTGTCTACGGAAATAGTCTATACCAACATCAATTAATGTATTCTTTTTACCCATGACATTAAAATTTAGGCTTATCTAAAAATAAGGTTCGTAATAATTAATTGCTATAAAGTCGAATATTTGTGGTTGAAAATTATCATATTATATAAAAATCATCTGCGGTTAAATCTTTTGAAGCGTTATTTTTATTAAACAGTACGAAATGATATTTTTATCTCATAAATTATAAATACATACATAGATTGTCGAAAATTAAAAAAAATCCAGGCTATAAGTAAGGCGACTGTACAGCCTAATAGAAACGTAGATGGCGGCGAAACGGGGAATTACATATTTTTTTCATAGGAAATCTGTCAATACCATTTCGTCTGGCTAACTTGGCAATATGTAGCTTGTCACTGCCCAAGGTTGCTAGAAAGTCATTAACAACGCCCTCATTTACTCTATAATTTTCTTGTCGGGTTATATTTTCCTAATATAGAAAAAAGATTGTATAGCGTAAGCGAATTAGGCCGATGCCTTTTGTCACGGGGGCCCCCGTGACGATAGGGGCGCCGGGCACGGGCCCTGGGCACGGGCCCCATGTGCCCTTATAGTAAAGACGGTACTGCTGAGACAGTTGCATTCATATACTACCTGCGAAAAACGGAAACTGAACCAGGAGATACACAGCTGTATCTTCATGATAATAATGAAAAATCTGCTTACAGCATTTTATATTACCCCTTCTTTGAAAGCTAAAAATAATTGCTTGCAATGCAAACATAATATTTTTTTGCACATCCATGTCTCAAAACATTATGAATGTCATTTTAATTCCTCTCTCTTTTTATAATAAATACTAAAAGCTAAAACAAAGAAGAAGTTTAGATGTTCACGTATTTATATAATAATTTCAGGCGAAAACTAAACAATTGGCATCCCTAGAAAAGCAGTTTGAAGTACTTAAATGGGAGTATGAAGTCCTTCAAGTCAGGTTTGATCGCATGCAAGCAGAAAGGGATGAACTGAAAACCAGGTTTTCGAAGGCGGTGCTGGAAGTACAGCAGAGGGTGGCGCTGAAGACTGCTCTCATGGAGACGAAGTTGAAGATTTTAGAAACGAGAGATTTGGGTCCAAAGGAGATACATGTTCGTATAATCATATCTATTCCTCGTAATCATCAATGCTGTTATTATGTTCGCTTCTAGACACGAGTCTTTCTTAGCCCGGTATTTGGAGACAATTTCGAGTTTAATCTTTAACTTTACAGCGTAAAATATAATACTGAACTAAGACCGATTGACCAGCTATCAAGCTTTTCTTGGCGACGAGATGGTAAGGGCAAAGCTAATAACTACATACTGGCAATACTGCTCCCTATACACACGTCTTAGATTAACGCTGAAGCTATATTATGGTTGTAGCACGAATGAATCAGCTCGACTGGGGTAGGACCACGCTCTCACAGAATACCAGCGTGAAATAGCAGTTTATTGCTGATGTATTTCGTATGGTGAGTATAAAGAACCGGAGACCCTTTTTACTGGAAATATTCCATTTTAGTCCTCAGCGGTGACACCGTATTCTGCATTTTAATTATTAATCTAGAATGATGTAGATGCAATGAGACACAGCATCATCAACATCAACTTACCATGAAGTGTACTCTATTGTCACCCTTAATATACTAAAAAATAGAACTACTCTGTGAACATCTACATTTGGATGTGGCTTTGATATATTTTATGCCAAAAGTTGATCTTTAAAGCCTCATCTGATTAATCAACTGTATGCGTCACATCAAGTGCAGTCAGTATTGAAATTTGAAGTAAAAGTTATCTATATAGTATCGTGTTAAAGATGAAAAGTACCACAAAAGTAACCACAATTCAAAACAGGATAAACTACTTACTATACAACTTTAATATCTAGAAAGTTATTTGTGGTGATGAAGAGAACTAGAGCTAGAAAAAAAATAGCTCAAGTATGAAAACGTGTTATTTAAAACAACAAGCTTAAGGGGAAATATAACCTCAAGTGGCTTAGCAAGATCCTCCGTTATGCCGAAAGTATTGCAGCATTAATTTTGAAATAAATATATGGTAAAGTTGAGGATTAATGTTAAGGTTTATGTTAGACGAAAACACGATTCCGTAAAATTTTCTCGATAGAAAAAAAATCCAAAGTTACCTCCAAACTGAACAATAAACCGCTGTTATTCATAAAATACTTTAAATAAGATCATGAAACTTTGCATACTAACTGAACTAACCATAAAGCAGTGCTTATGTTATTTACTTTTTTTAAAATATCATTATTTTCACTGTAAAAAGAAATTACCTAAACTATCGGCGCGTAAGCTTGGTTCCTGCGGAGCGACAGGAACCAAGCTTACGCGCCGATATGTTTGTACTTGTGAAATTTATGTACCTATGTAAACTGTCCTTATGGTACCTACAGGAGGAAATGCTTTGGTGGAGGTAAGGTTTAAAGTAATTTAAAAAAAATTGCCTGCGTCGGGTTATCATGGTTTGTCTTCATCATTAGCTGATAAAAGTAAACTAATCACCTCTCTCACTTTCCCTATAGATAATCTGTAATCGTCTAGCTTGAAAGGAAGTTTGAGATATAATTAATCCGTCATTGAACAAGTCATTAATTTTCATGAACTTTTCCTTGGTACCTAGGGTTGTCACCCGTACTATAATATATAGTATCGTTTTATATTTCAGTCAATTGTACCTAAAAAAGTAAAGTAAAGTTACAGCCTATATACGTCCCACTGCTGGGCTCAGGCCTCCCCCTCATTTCTGAGAGGGTTTAGGGCAAGGAAGTGTCCGCCGCGCTGCCCAAATGCGTGTTGACGAACTTCACATGTCTTCGAAATATTTTTTTTTCTTATTCCTCAGACATGCAGGTTTCCTCACGATGTTTTCCTTCACCGCCGAGCACGTGGTAAATCAGCACTTAAAATTGCAATTAACAATTTCATTGGTGGTTTCACCTAATACTATATTTTTATACCTAATTCAACTGTCGATTTTTTATATTAACTGAGACTCAAAGTCTGGAACAAGTATGTTTTACGGAAAGAGTTTCTTTCATCATGAATATAACATTGAAAGAAGAAAGGAGAAGAGCGTGTATTAATTTAATTAAAAATTAACTTTTTCATTTATTTTAATATAAATCTAAATTACTCAGACTCCTCGTTATCTCTCGCTCATAATTACTTTTAAAAATAAAGGTAAAAGATAAGGTGGTTAAATCATTGATGGCCAAAGCAAAGAGCATAACAAATATATATGGAAAAATATATTCATATTATGTAAATACAGACATAAATAAAATAAATATGTACTTTTTCTCCGGAATTTCTCAAAAGTACTGTATTTTTGCATCCTTTTTGGAAAAAATACTATACTTGTTAAAAAAAGGTGGCAGCCCTATGGTACATTTAGCGATACACATCTGTGATACTCGCACAGAGAGGTCCACCGTCCACCATCCAACACTCCGTCCACCACACCGTCTTAAAGTTACACCTATATACGTCCCACTGCTGGGCACAGGCCTCCTCTCATTTTCTGAGAGGGTTTTAGGGCAAGGAATAGTCCACCGCGCTGCCCCAATGCGTGTTGGCGAACTTCACATGTCTTCGAAATACATTTTTTTCTTATTTCTCAGACATGCAGGTTTCCTCACGATGTTTTCCTTCACCGCCGAGCACGTGGTAAATCAGCACTTAAAATTGCAATTAACAATTTCATTGGTGCCGGCGGGGATCGAACCCGGTTTGCTCGCGTATTGTGAAATTTACAGCGAGCGCTAACCATCTGAGCTACCACGGCTGGCCCCCGCTTATTTCTGACAGGGTTTTAGGGTAAGGAAGCGTCCGCCGCGTTTCCTCAATGCGTGTTGGCGAACTTCACATCTTCGAAATATTTTTTTTGTCTTATTTCTCAGACATGCATTTTCCTTACGATGTTTTTCTTCACCGCCGAGCATGTAAATCAATACTTAAAATTGTATTTAACAATTTCATTGGTGCCGGCTCGAATCGAACCCGGTTTGCTCGCGTACTGTGAAATGTACAGTGAGCGCTAACCATCTGAGCTACCTCTTTAATTTAATGAAATACCTGTTCGATAAAATTAAGTATTAGATATACAAGGGCTGATTAACGTCACTAAGATATTTCGACCACTATAATTTTACCATATTATGTGGTACAGGTCTAAAGCCTTCGGGACACCTTTTCTGTCTTGGAGTCCGTCTACTTAGGTAAAAAGGAGTACCAACTCCCATAGGCAAAGCCGTCTTAGGCCATACCGGGGCCCTTGGGCACAAAAGAATTTGGGGCCCTGTTGGAAAGTAAAAAAAGTGAATGATGAAAACATTTTTCATTTTACATTCTTTTTATTTTATATTTATTATTGTTAATTAGTAAAAATCGAATAATATGCCATTAATGAGGGCATCCACGATTTTTCTGCCACCAGGGCGGCGCCACTTTACAATGAGGTAAAATATTTGACAGATTTCATAGCGGGGTCTATCGTACTTCTATACTCTATGGCGGGGACGATAACTTCTAAGGAAAATGTAAACTTTAATGTTTCTTTCTTAAACTTTCTTTCAAAAAAGGAGAACATTCTATAACAACATCAATACGTGCATTCTTTTTATTTCTTACATTTAAATTTGGGCTTCACTTATCTAAATCGTAACAATTATTTGCTATAAAATCTAATATTTGTGGCTGAAAATTATCATATTAAATAAATCATTTGCCGTTAAATCTTTTGAAGTGTTATTTTTATTAAACAGTAAGAAATTATATTTTTATCTCTGGATTATAAATGCATAGATTGCCGAAAATAAAAATAAAACCAGGCTATAAGTAAGGCGACTGTACAGCGCGACAAAAACGTTTAGATGGCGGCGAAATGCGGAACTACTTACATATTTTCTACCTAAGAAATCAATCAATACCACTTTTTCCGGCAATGTGTGGCTAGTCACTGCTCAGGGTTGCCAGAAAGTCACTAACAATGCCCATTTACTCTATAATTTTTTTTGGCGGGTTATATTTTCCTAAAATAGAAAAAGATTGTATAGCGTAAGCGAATAAGGCCGGTACCTTTCGTCACGGGGCCCCCCGTGATGATAGGGGGCCCTGGGCACGGGCCCCGTGTGCCCTTATGGTAAAGACGGTACTGCCCATAGGACAATAGTTGAAAAAGTGTCCATCTGTAAGCAGTAAATAACAGTTCAAAAACTCTCCACTACAGCGCTCGAGTAGCTGTGTTAAATCACCGTAAAATACGTTGAGTGATTTTGTAAATAAAAATTTTGAAAGCAATAAAATAATTATTGTAAAAAGAATTATGCTGAAAGTCTGTGCAATAAAAAAATTATAAAGTTCTTTAAAATTTAGACGGTAGCTACAGTGGCGTCACTCTTATTTAACGCTTTCCTACTGACACTTTTTATACAGAGTCTGTACTCCTTACTTCTACACTCCATATTTACAAAGACTCTCGTAAGAGGCATCTATGGGAAACAGAAAGTTCATTTTAGATCCGATAGATGGCAGTGTAACAGTTTCGTTTACGCCTAGCGTAAAATATCCCCACCGGCGAAGGAGACTAGCTTCATATAGGTAATACGATTTTTACGACAATAAAAGCAAAGCTTCCTACAACGTGAGAAGCCACTGAGAACCGGACTTTTACGGGATAATATAGAAATATTTTTTTAAATAGGACTTATTGAAATTGAAAGACACGCAAATCGAAGATCTTCAGTACGAAGCCGCGCGACTACGGAAGGCGCACGATGATCTTCTTGCGACATACGAAGCCAAACTGACGAAGCTTGGTATACCACCGGAAGAATTGGGATTCAAGTAAGATAGAGATTTATTTAAATTCTTTGACTAAAATTAAAAGGCTGCAAAATCTCTACCCAGTTTATTTAATGAACAAGGTAGACGAAATATAATTATATATTTTGGTGTTTTCTCGACAACGTTGTCTATTTCTACAAAAGCAACAGCTTCATAGAAAGTTGAAAAACTTATCATCAGAAATAACTGTTGTTGTAGTTATATAGTAGTAATGATAAATTGATAAAGGAATAGTTAAGTATGTTATGCATTAAGATTTAAAGTTGTAAAAGTGACATCTAGCGATATTTTAGAAAACTTTACATACACTTCACTTTACAGACACACAAGTCTTGTTAAAACATTACTTATATAAGTGCCATCTAGCTGTTATAATTTGTGCACTTTCTTTTCAATGAGCTTTTTTTTTGTACTGCGACACCTAGTGGATCTTTTAAGTAAAATCAAGATAGCCAGTTTATTTCTATTTAGAGCCATCTACCGACATATCGTTGGCTTACTGTTACAATGTTCTATGTTACAATATCAGCATTTTTTAGTCATGAATGCTACAAAGTTATATGTATCATTAGCTACACTTTTGCTATACGAACAACTAGATTACAGCTCTTTCTACTGAAAAATATTAAAGTTTACATAGTCCTATGTCGTTTTTTATTCCATTTAGTCTAATAACCTTCGATCAACGAAGCTAATAACCAAACATTACTAAAATTGACATAAAACCTTTTTTTTTTTTATTCTGGTTTTATTTAGGGATTTTTGTTCGTTAACATGTCAATCCCATTAAAGCTAACTTAAAATCTATACATTTGTTATTAACCTGCACATACTTAATGCAATATCCGAGGTGGGGGCATGTAGGATGCTCTGAGCAACACCTATATTGTACACATTTATATTATATGTTCTTACAAATAATTCCCTTGCACCTCGGTTGCGCTCACATTCCATTAAAAAATGATGTATGTCTTCAATTACTCCACAAATTTCACAGTTAGGTGAATCAGCTCTTTTCATCAAGTAAGAAATTTTTTTTGATGGAATGTGACCTGCTCTTAATCTAAATATTAATTTAATAGTATTTCTGTTTAATTTGGTATCCATAAACCAAGGTATTCGAGGCGGTTCACTCTGTATCGTTTTATACCAAATACCTTTCGTTTTAGAACGTTCATTGAAAAATTCTTTCCATTTATTATAACATGAATTTTTTATTTTTGGTAATATTTCTGAGTAGCAAGAATCAATATAATACTCTACACCATTTATGCATGCAGAATTCGCTAATCTATCCGCCTCCTCGTTACCCAATAAACCAATGTGTGCTGGAATCCATTGCACCCTTACACCGATGCCGCATAGACTGAACTGATTTATTTGCGAAAGTATGTCATAGGCTATCGAAACACCTCTGATTCCAGAGGCGGATCGAGCCAAATGTTGGATAGCAGTTTTGCTGTCCGAGTAAATGATAATTTTGTTCCAGTTATAGCTTGCGGCATATCTTAAGGCTTCGGATATTGCAATGAGTTCAAGGGTCATAATACAAACGTCATTTGTAACTTTATATGATCTAGAAATTGCTTGAGATGGGTCAAGAAAAGCTGCCCCTTGCAACTTAGCACTCTTTGATCCGTCTGTATAGATTTTATGCCAATCGTGATATTTATTGTCAAGTTCTTTGATAATATTGACTTTAAGAGAATTTATTTCATAGAATTTTTTAGATTGTGTAACAGACTCTAATTCACTTAATATTATATTTTCAATATCAATGCGAGACAGCCAAGTGTTAAGCGAAAATGATTCGAGAAAAGGAGATGAATGTATTTTCATAACTTTAATCTTATTGTAAGATTTAACTAAGAGTGGGATTTTCTTGCGTTGCCAATATCTTGTTTCACAGAGACTGCTAAGCTGCTTCAACAAATCAATTGAAATATTATTCGAAAAAGAGCTGGCTTTTAAAACATATTTATAAGCTAGATATAATCTTCTAATATACAATGGAGGTACACTAAGTTCGCTTTCCATTACATGTATTGGAGAGCTTTTGATAAAACCACCAATAACCCTTAACGATTTATTTTGTATTTTATCTAATTTTGATAAGTGAACATTAGCACAATTATCAAATAAAAAACTACCGTAATCGATTCTACTTCTTATTAACGAAAAATACAGCTGACGAATATGTTTAGGATGAACTCCCCACGATGACCCAGATATTACCATTAGTATATTTAAAAACTTATTACATTTTTCTGTAATCTCATTAATGTGTTTGTTCCAGAGTAGGTTACTATCTAGCCACAACCCCAAATATTTAAAGCAATTTAAGGAAGTCAGTGAGCGTTCGTTAACTGTTACCTTAGGCAGGACTCGTCTACGTCCTCGACTAAACAGGCATAACTTTGTTTTTTCAGTTGACAGCTGTAAACCTAGATCGTTTAATATTTCTACTATACAATATAACGCGTTTTTTGATCTTTGACTCGCAAATTTTTAAATCTTTGTCTTTTATATAAATAACAAAGTCATCAGCATATTGAATAATATTTACGTTGTGTTGTGATATTAAATGGCAGACTCTGTAAGTCGCTATATTGAATAGGAAAGGGGATATTGGGTCTCCTTGTGCTAATCCTTTATTTGTGCTTCTTTTAAGTACTTTATTTTCAATTTGAGATTTTACCCGTAAATTTCTTTTGCTTAGGAATGACCACAAATATGTACAAAACCTACTACCAACTTGTAGGTTATCTAATATTTTTAAGACACTATTTATATCAACATTATTGTAAGCATTTTCAATATCCAAAAAGCAAGCTAAAGTGGGCATATTTTGTGTAAATCCAATTTGTATAAATGTTACCAAGCGAGAGTGACAGTCTAAGCAAGATTGTGATTTCCTAAATCCAATTGTCGATGGCGAAAATACGCAATTTTTTTCAATGAACCATTCTAGTCGTTTGAGCATCATAATGTGGAAAGTTTTACAAAGACATGACACTAAGGAAATTGGTCTCAGCTTAACATCAGAATTAGATGGGCCACTATTTTTTGGTATAGGTATAACCAGCACATTACGCCATTGACTTGGTATATTTCCAGACCTGAACACAAGGTTATAAAGAATTAAAAGAAATTTTTTGGCGATATCGGGAAGATTATATATCATACTATATGTGATTTCGTCATCTCCGGGAGCAGTATCTTTTTTTTTTAAGACAACTTTTCAATTCTGCCATTGTAAAATCAGTCTCTAATGAAGGATTTTTAGACATAAAATTGGGACATACGTCGGTAGCAGTATCCGGTGTGAGTGAAAGTAGAAGCTTTTCTTGCTGATCTAATGGAATGAATGATTTTTGTTTACGAATACCCTTCATCCATCGCATGCGCTGCCACATGTTTGATATTGAAGTTTCTCCATCTATCGAATCGCAAAAGTTCTGCCAATATTTACGTCTTGCATCTACTATAAGTTTACTAGCTTCTTTAGTTTTTACTTCTAAGTGAGTCAAATTGTTGGGAGTTGGATTACGTCTAAAATTCAGAAGGGCTAATCTTCTTTCAGCAACTGCTCTAGACAGGGCTGGGTTCCAATAATTTCGGGGTTTAAATTTTGTTGCTGGATCAATGCGTACTTTTATAGTAGGTATACTAGCATCAGCCGCTTTATCAAGTTGAGAAAGTAGAAAGTTATACATTTCTTGAATACATGTTTCATCATATATATCAATATCTAATAAATCATCGCTAAAGGATTCTTTAATTATGTTAGTATATGCTACCCAATCAATTTTCTTAAAATTACGTTTCTGAATGCCATTATAGTGTTTTGGGATTTTAGTACTTAATTTAATTAATAGATGATCGCTGCCTAGATTTTCATTGAGCACCTTCCAATCGAAATTTATAGCAATATCATTTGATACAAAAGAAACATCTGGGGAAGTTTCTTGTAAAAACCCATTGACAAGTTTAACTCTTGTTGGCATTCCATTATTAAGAGAAAAATAACCATGTTCTACCGATGCGCCTACTAATTGCACCCCTCGTGCATCGTTTTTGTACGACCAATTGCTGTGGTGCCCATTAAAATCACCTGCTATTAACGATTTTTTTGGGAAGAGGGAAAATAGCTCCTCCCATTCTGATACCTGAGTTCTAACTGAAGATGGACAATAGATTGATATAATATTTTGTTAGAAATCACAATTGTGCAATTTAACACATACGGTTTCTATGCCTGGGTTAGTTAATCGAATTATACTTACTACGCTTTTAAGTGAGTTGTGTGTAACGATTGCAACTCCACCATAAGAGTCATATCTGTCCCGTCTATAGATATTATAATCTTTAATATTAATATTATCATCGTTATCTAACCATGTTTCACTTAGTATGGCTATGTGTATTTTTTTCTTTTACCAAAAGCTCCCCAAGATCTATCAATTTTGGTTTCAAACTTTGTGTATTCCACTGTAATATATTAATAGCGATATTTTTGTTATTTGTACTATCCATTATTCATATAATTTAAAACTGTTTCATAAATTTTTCGTCCTGATATTAAACTACTCACAAATGTTTTAATTACTTTAAAAATAGCCATGAAAACCGCAATAACTTTATGCTCTAATCTTTTTCTAGAGTACCAAATAGAATGAATTTTTAATAAGAGTCCCTTAAAATCAAATGTTTTTTGTCTTATTTCTTCTTCATCTGAAGTACTTTTTTGGCTTTCTTCTTCTGCTTCCTTAAACTGCGTATCATTTTCTATTGTATTTATTTTTTTCCTTCCTTTTCTTTGCCTTTGTTTTGTCTTCTCCTTTTTATTTGTTTCTATGAGTATTGTTCCTTCATCTGAGGCTAATTCTTGATTATTTTCCTTATGAACTTGAGCGTTAGTAACAACCTGACTATAACTTCGAGCTCCACGGTTTTCCAAAACTTGTGTCGGCTGTTCTGTCATCTCTTGATTGACAAAAGTAT